GGGGCCGGCGCGGGGGCCGGGGCCGCGGCCAGCTCACCCGCCCCTCCATCGCCATCTTGGGCTAGCGGCCCACGCGGGGGCGCCCCGCCAGTGTGGCCACCCTGCACCGCAGGGGACACGCGCGCGCGCGCGCCACCAGCCTGCTCCTGCGGCTCACTCCGCACGCGGGAGCCTCCCGCTCTCCGGGTCACCTCGGGCTCTTTTCTTTTCACCTGAGCCTCTGGATGTCTGTTTCCTGCCCTTGTCATGACCCTACCCTCAGGGTCTCCTCCATCTCTTTTCCAGGCTCAGTGGAGGCCAGATCACTGAGCCCTGTCCTTTTCCAGCTCTGAAAAAGCTGACCTGAATCCTGCTTAGCTTCTCCACGGGCTGCACCAACAGACCCATTGAGGACACCACAGTCCCTTGTCCCTGCTACCTCTTCCATGCCAAGCTGAGGGATTCTCTTGGCTTCCTTCCTTCCTCCTCAGTAGCCAACCCAGCCTGTACTGTGTTCCCCTCTGTGAGGGACAACCAAGACTTGCTTGCCACCATTTTACATACCTGCAAACTGGGGTTCGAAGCGGGGCTTTCTAAGGACAGGAGGCTTAAGGCAGGACCTGCTAATGGTGTTGGGCCTTCCAGCCTTCCTCTCAGACTGACTGTGCCTTTCTCTTTTTCAGGACTGCCTCTTTTCCAACTGAGCTAGCCAGGTTAGTTGCCTCAGTGTCTAAAGCTGGGGAATCAGTTGTCAGGCTGGCTTGGGGAGAGGAATACACACCAAATGGCTATTTAAAATGTTGTGTTTGGGACTGGAGAGACATTCCAGTGGTTAGAGTGCTTATTGCATTTGCAGAAGACCTAGGTTTGGGTTTCAGTACCCACACAGGAGATTCATATCAGTCTGTAACTCTAGCTCCAGTAGGTCTGATACCTCTGGCTTCTGTGGCACCTGCACCTACAAGACACACAGATATAATTTAAAATAATAAAAATTATACATACATACATACATACACACACACACAAATATAATCACCATATTTGAGGCTAGAGAGGTGGCCCAGTGGAACTTCCTGCTCTTACAGAGAACCTGGGTTCTGTCCTCAGCACTCATATGGCAGCCATAACCATCTGTAACTCCAGTTCCAATGAGTCTGATGCCCTCTTCTGGATATTGTAGGAGTTTTCATGCACATGGTCCACATAAACTCATGCAATACCCACATACACATAATTTTGTTTTAAAGGAAAACCCTTGTCTTGTATCTATTGGTATTCCCATGATTCAGAACCGTTTAGATTCTGGCTCCTATGCTGCCAGTTAGCTCCGTACCTTTTGGGGGAGGGAGAGATTAAGGCTGGGGTTCCTGTTCCCTGTAACCAATTATGTAGCCTCCGATCCTCTTGCCTCTACCTCTGGAGTGCTGGGATAGCAGATGTGCACCACCATGCCCCGTTGATGATAGCAGGTGACTGAGCTCAGGGCCTCACATGTTAAGCACCTACTCAGCCAGCTGAGCTGCAGGCCCACTATGTACTTAGCAGATCTAAGGGAACCTGGCATTGGCCTACTTCAGCCTCATTTTATCCCAGGGCCACCATTAGCGTTTCATTCTATTGCTCTCCTTCCTCGAAACCAAGTGATCTCCTGGTCCTCAGGCTTGGATGGGCTCCCATCTCTATACTAGTGACGCTGCACAGATCCCTCCTGCCTGGACCTTCTCCCTAGACTTGCACTTCCAGCTCCTGCTCAGCAGTTTACATCCTGATCTTTCCATCCTCCTGCCCCCTCCAGACTCCGCTTTCTCAGTTCCTAGAACCGACATCCTTCCTGTAGCTCAGATCTAATATTTTTGAATTATTAATTATCAGTGTAGTATGTGTGTGTGTCATATGTATGAGGTCAAGCCCGGAGGTCAGAGGACACACTTTGGAGTTTCCCTTCGGCTTTTACGTGGGTTCTAGGAACTGACCTCAGATCATCAGGTTTTGCACACTGGGCACCTCTACCTGCTGAGCAGCCTCCACAGCCTTTCAGCTCAAATCTAAATCAAACCATACATTCACCTTTGACCCCTCTCCACCTGCTTTTCCATCCTCCTCTCACCTCTCACCTAGATTGTTATGGAGTCTCCTCACCACCATGCTGTTTCTGGCCTTTCCCTTGTGTGTGCTTTAAGTCCACACAGCAGCCAGTTCCTGCTACAGCTCTGCTCGAATCTCACCAGGCTTCCATCTCAGGCAACAGAACCAGAGCCCTGCCTCTTACTACACTGCTGGATTTTCTCACCTGTCCCCAGCAACACCAACCCCTTCCCTTCCAGTCTCAAGACCTTTGCCCAGAACTGGGGCTGTTACTTAGAAATAGAGTTCTTGCCTCACACACATGAGGCCCTAAGTTCAATGCTCATCGTTGAGAAGAGAAAAAAAGAACAGGAGGAGGAGGAAGAAGAGAAAGATGAGGAGGAGGAGGAGGAAAAGGAGGAAGAAGAGGAAGAGGAGGAAGAGGAGGAAGAGGAGGAGGAGGGAAGGAAAAGGAGTAATGAGGAGGGGGAGGGAGCAGGCGGGGATGGTGATGACCTTTGCACAGCCATCACAATTTGAGTTCCACTCGTCCCTAGCACACGGTGTCAAGAAGTCTTCCTGGAGCTGGAGATGTAGCTCATTTGTTGGAGAAGCCCTGGGTTCAGTCCCCAGCACTGCTTGGTCATACATGCCTGTAATCCCAGCACTTGCAAAGCAGAGGTGAGAAGATCCTTGGCTATATATAAATCATTTAAGCCCAGGCTGGCCTCTGTGACAACCTGTCTCAAAAGTAAAGTAGAATATGTCTTGTAGCTTCGTCTCCTCTTCCTGTTCTTCTTCCCTGCTTTTGTTTCATTTTCTTTTCTTTCTTTCTCTCTTTCTTTCTTTGTTTCTTTCTTTCTTTCTTTCTTTGTTTTTTTTGGGGGGGATTTTTCGAGACAGGGTTTCTCTGTGTAGCCCTGGCTGTCCTGGAACTCACTCTATAGACCAGGCTGGCCTCGAACTCAGAAATCCGCCTGCCTCTGCCTCCCAAGTACTGGGATTAAAGGTGTGTGCCACCACTGCCCAGGCTTTGTTTTCATTTTTTTTTAAACATTACATTTATTAGGGGCTGGAGAGATAGCTCAGCGGTTAAGAGCACTGACTAATCTTCCAGAAGTCCTGAGTTCAATTCCCAGCAACCACATGGTGGCTCACAACCATCTATAAAGGGAACCGATGCTCTCTTCTAGTATGTTTGAAGACAGCTACAGTGTACTCATGTACATAAACTAAATAAATCTTTTAAAAAATTGAATTTATTTAGCCAGGCAGTGGTGGTACATATCTTTGATCGCAGCACTCAGGAGGCAAAGGGAGGCAGATCTCTGAGTTGGAAACTAGCCTGGTCTATAGAGCAGACCCTGTCTCCAGAACAAAACAAAGCCAAACAAAAAACCAAACAAATGAAAAAAACTATCTATTTATCCTGTGTGTGTAAACATTCCACAGAGCACGTGACAGAGGAGAAGTTTTGCTCGCGTGCGTGTATGCCCACGCGCGTGCACACACACACAGACACACACCATAAATTTTTTTTTTTTTTGGTTTTCGAGACAGAGTTTCTCTGTATAGCCCTGGCTGTCCTGGAACTCACTCTGTAAACCAGGCTGGCCTCGAACTCAGAAATCCGCCTGCCTCTGCCTCCCAAGTGCTGGGATTAAAGGCGTGTGCTACCACTGCCCGGGAAATAAATTTTAAAAAGGATAGGGGTACATATGTAGCCTTGTCTGACATCAATGGGAGGGGAATCCCTCGATCCTGTGGAAGCTCGATGCCCCAGCGTGTCGGATGCTAGAGCAGTGAGGGGGGAGTGGGCAAGTGGGTGGAGCAACACTCTCATACAGCAAAGGGGAGGGGGGATGGGATAAGGAGATTGTGGAGGGGGAAACCAGGAAGGGGGATGTCATTTGAAATGTAAATGAATAAAATGATTAATAAAAATAAAATATGTTGTGTTTAAAGGGGAGGTTAGGAGGAGGAGACAGATCTACTGGGGTCTGCATGGGTACCACAGCTCTAGTTGGGAGCACAGAGTTGAAAGTTCCTGCCTACCCTGCATGGTCCTGAGCTAGTGAGCGCGCCTGTTATAATGCTCTATGGCGCACCAGTTTTGATTGGGAACGGGGTCAGGACACCCTCCCCAGACTTGGTGAATCAGGAAGGGCTACTAGAAAAATCTAGTACAGTACGCAGAACCCAGGAAGTGTGAACTTCGAGCCCCAGGAGCAGGGCTGGAGCCAGCTGAGGCCCGGCTGCTCAGGAGGACTTGCATCTTTCCAAAGCGGTTGAAGAGTTGAATTGTGGAATGAAAGTGTAAACAAACAACAAACGGCACTGTCTAAAAGAGGTAAATTCCACAAGCCACCAAAACGGTCCGCTAACTTTTCTCTATTCCCAAGTCGGTGTAGGGGGTGCAGCTCAGAGGCGGAGTGTGTGCTTAGCATATGCAGACCCCTTACCAGAAAGTAAGAAGGGAAAATTAAACTGTATTAATCCAAAGACTCTAGAA